TCTTTGTCGTCATTTGGAGTTAATCTTTGAAGCCTAGTGCCTTCGACTATCCTATCATTTATCTCAGGATCTTGTTCATCAATGGTGTTGGCGGTTGACAAGGAGGGTTCGAACATGGCATTTAGCCATAGTTGAAGTAACCAAAAAGGGCCAGCCAACAGAATATTCTTGGAGGTATGGGATTTGAGGCTCGAAACAGCTGACCTCAGGCTTTCATAAAGGTCAACTAAGAGCAGTTCACTTAACCAAACTTTTCGATTTTCATGCAAGTCCCTAGCTAGAGGAATGAACCTACTAGCTACTTGTAGGGATCTACTGCAGAAAACGTATCTTAACAGCCATAGGGTTAAGAAAGCAATGTGTTCTACGTCAGACACATTGTCCCCCTCAGCATGGTAATGACTGATAAACTTGGAAAAACTTGCTAGCTTGACTTCGAAGTCAATTATGCTTGAATGTTCTTCGTTGTCGGGGATATAAGTTTCTCCTACTGGCGATAGCCCAGTGATGGCCGCTATGTCGAAGAAGGTTGGGGTGATCATTCCACCTGGGAGATGGAAAGTGTTATAGGTACTGTCCCAGAAATAGAGGGACGCGAATAGCAGAGGGTGGCTGTAGGTGAAACCAGGCTTCGATAGCTTAATCAGGTTATAGATACCTAATTCTTCCCATTGCTGGGATTTCTTAGCTTCTACTTTCTTGAACCAATTTTGATAAGCAGTATCAGAGGTGGGGCAAGATCGAAATGGCTTAAAATTACTTTTTACATAATCCAATACAAAGGGGTCCTTAGGAGGAACAGTTGGGTTTTCTATGGTATTTGAACTAGAAGATTCTATTGCTTTAGGGGCGTCCATTTTGTTAAACAAGGGTTTAAAACTATAACAAACTGGGAAAATCGTCCTGGTGTCTTTTAATATTTCAAAAACCGTAAGAGGGCCATTTAAAGCTAACCTCTTACCAGCAACGGTGGTAGGAATGAGTACCTGTGACGCATATAGCATTTCTTTTTCCTTTGAAATCATCTGAGGGGCAAGAACGGATTGACCTTGGTGAGTGATAATCTTACTTTCCATGGTAGTTCCTGCAGTTTTTCCTTTCTTCTTGGAGACTTTCTTGAGTTGGGATGAAGTAGAAGAAGACATTTTTGAAGGATGTTGAAAGCTTGGGTTTTTTTTTACGAGAGAAGGAGGGTAAAAGATTCAGAGTGTGAAAAGAAAAGAAAAAGATTAAGTTGGTGATGTTTTATAATGGGGAAGTTTAAGCATCCACTGAATAAGGGTGTGATACGTGGAAATCATGGGTTGGTGTGATGAAGAGGTGGCGTAAAGTTAACATGGGTAATAGGCGTGATTTAAAGATAATCATTGTTTGTAACTGCACCATACTGTGAAGTGGCTCCAGGCGGTTAAGGAATCCAAAAAGCGCTATGATTGACGTGACTGGAGTCAAATGCATTAAATGTTACGATGATTCGAAGATCACATCAAAATCTTGTGTAGATGTTTAAAATAGGTATTTCTCAGAGAAATCGAAATACATATTTTAAAGGGGCAATTTGTTGGCTGAAGATTTTGATAATATTATTAGAAGCCAAATGAACTAAACGTTTCGATCGAAATGAAGCAAAGCGTCATGTTTCGAAGTAGCAGAAGCAGTGTTTCGAATAAGCATGTCAAAGCTGGAGCTTCGAGTGGCAATTATGGGAACATATCTAAAGAAGTCTCGAAATAACAACAAGGCTGTGTCTAGGAAGTGCGTTCGAAACGGAGAAGTACCAAAGCATTTGAAATTCAAATGGAAGCGGGACATTCGAAGTTTGAAATTTATGTGCTGGAGCATTTGGAGACACGTGGAAAGAAGAAAGAGACATTGTTCTGCATGTTCTGAACGTGGCATAATCCTATAGCAAGACCGTTATGGTCGAATTAGTATAAATAGAAGTCTTAGTATTAGGATTTCGTGTGTCATATCTATTGTACTAAATACTCAGTAACATTCAAACTACCACATGGCAAGGGAAACGAATGCAAGAGCAATGTACGTATGATAGCACCATATATTTATGATTTAATGAAAACTTTTTACCATTTCCAGCACTTTCCTTTATCTTTCTGTCAAATAACATTTATAAGTTTTCTCATTTACAGTCTTTTCACTTCGAAATCTCTTCATTAAAGTTTTACATTTCAATGCTTTCTTCACATTTCAAGCACTTTACATTTCAGAAAACTGTCATACTTTCCATGCCTTTACCTTCAAGCTTTATCCTTTGAACGCCTATTTTTACTTAAAGTCATTTACAGATTTCTTGCATTAAACGCTTTCTTCATATTTCAAACCTTTTACGTTCCAGAACATCCTTTACATTAACTGTTTTTATAATTCGAAACCATTTACTTGCCTTTTATGCAATTTTACATGCCTTTACAATTAACATTTATTCATGCAACTTAGTTTCGTACACGCACATTTTGATTACATCTTTAGACCCTTAAGAGAGAAATCGAAATAAGCCAAACACCTATACAACACTCAAATATCAACCATGAATATCTGTTCGATCATGAGAGTTACCCTAATGACCAAGGAATCCTAGGATCAATCTAGTCGATCCTATGAGTTACCAGAGGAATTGAATAACAGTCAGAAAGATTATTCGATAGTTTGGAAGACTAGCGGTTGTTTACCAGAAATCACTGGAAACAACTGGACACTTTTATTCTCTTTAACTTTTTCAAATTTGAACACACCATGCACTTTGAACTTAGCAACTTGGATTTTTAAACCTTGTTGATATGGCATTAAACTTTTAAACCTTTACCCCCTTTTTACTCAAAAACTTGGACTCTTAAACCTTGTTTTTAAAACTATGACTTGGATTTCTAAACCTTGTAATCTTTTTGCCATTTTGGCTCATAAATATCAATAAAACCCTTTTTTTGTGACTTAGACATGAGTCATCTTTACGATGAGATAATGTTCTTCTTTCCTTAATTTTAGTCGAAAGTGATTTTTACCATTCCTCTTGGAGTTAGTGGCATACTTGTTGATTTAATCTAAGTTGGAGCCCTTCCATTTGTGATGCAAGGTTCTACTTCCTAATTTTGATGAAATGAGAATAATCTTTCTAAGATGACAAGTTGTCTTTGTCACAAAAAGTTTTTAGAACTACGTAATTATGATTTCATCATTGCACCATTGATGGTACGTAGGCACAAAAAGTCTTTGAAATTTTTTCCGAATCAAATAAAAAATAAAAAAAGCTTTAAAGATCCAAGTCATTTTAACTTTCTTTTCTCATCCCCACCATCCATTTTAAGCAAACGATATCCTTTGAAACTAGTCGAAATAGGTGTTGTTCGAAGGCGACTTCCATTTGACAGATAATGATATCCTTTGAAACTGGTCGAAATATGTGTTGTTCGATGGCGGCTTCCAGTTGACAGAGAGCGATGTCCTTTGAAACTGGTCGAAATAAGTGTTGTTTGAAGGTGTGGTACACAATCAGACGCTTCCGCCTCCTATTAGAGAGCAACAAGCAATGCTTAATCTATATAGCTCAGAAAATAGACAAATTTAAGGCAACATCCACCGGTGAAAAACAAGTGCAAAATATAACCGGTGCTATTTTGAGTGTAATTTTCACTAGTAATTATTTAATACAAAATCAGACCAAGCGACAACCCTGTAAAAAATATGTGTTATGTCAAGTCTAAATATATATGTGACCTAGGTATGTCTTTATTCGGATCCTGTAAGAATTTGAAAGTGAAGAACATCAAACAAACCTAAATTATCAACTTACTAGTAATTTGTGTAAATTCTTAAAACATATTTTGATTTGAAACAGAAAAAATTAAATAGACCCAAATAAGGAGATTAAGAGGGGGATTAGGTCAAATTAAAATAAGAAGTGATGCAATCATCTTTTCCTAAACCCCTAAAAAACAAATCTCAACTCTAGGCGAACGAAGAAGACAATCATAAAAAAAAAATGACTTGGACAATGTTCTCCGCCTTTCCGAAGAAAATGATCAATATGATGGAAGAATGTTTAAAGATGATGAATTTTTTCTGGATTTTCTAACGAATTATAGATATAAATAAATAATATTTCTTATATTTTTTATCAAAAATTATTTATAATTTTAAATAAAAAATTAAAAAAATTACATTTCACCATTATAATTAAAATTTTAATTATTACGTTAATCATTTAATTTCATATTATAAATTTATTTTAATATTTAATTTTGAATTATAAATTTAAATTATTCTTTATTAATAATAACTCAATTTACTTATAACTATATTATAAATAAATATTTTTTTAAAATAAAATCAAAAGAAATTTAAAATATTAAATTATTTCAGATATACATATCCAAAATCTCCCTAAAAATGAAATATAAGAGAAAATACATGTCCAAAATAACTCAATATCCTAGATTCGTAAAGTGTGTTCAGATATGCACATCCGAAAGATATTTTCGAATTTTCAGAGTTTTAAGTCAACATAATCAAGTGGAGAAAAAAATTCTCTTTTAAGATCTTACATGACAAATAACAGGCCAGTTCTCGGCCTTTCCAATCAAAGTATTTTTCGGTCCAATTTCATAAATAGTAAGACTTGATAACTCCATCACAAAACTAGAAATTGTACTAACACCAACTTAACATACACTAATTTCTAATCAACACAAGAAATTAGACCATGTATCATGATGAAAATTTGATATATCTGTCAAGTGCAAAAGAGAAAAAGAACAAAACCGTTACCTAGGCACCAAGAGAATCAATAATATTAAACACAACAGAAAATTTACATACATATCAAAGCTCACACTGAATAGCATGCCCGGAAATAAACAATCATGTGACTGTGACAACTTACAAGTCGAGCACATCTCGTTGATGCAGTAACATATATAATTGGGATGTATATATAGAGTGAAAAGGGGTGGGGAGGTGGGGGGTGTCAATCAGCTTGCATTGGATCAGGAACAACCAAAACATTTACTTAAAGAGAAAAATTTGGATGAAGTCGGCTCTGTATCAGTCTCGGGTTTCTTTTGAGGAAGTTGCTTAAAAAATGCTTTCACAGCTCCAGTTACCCCATCCTCATTTTCCATGGCCTTGGCAAGTTCAATTGCATGATCCTTTACCTGGAAGTACAAACAAGAATTAAATCAAAGCATCTGCTTCTGAAAGAAGCAAGCTCATTTCATTTGGCTAATATGCATAAAGGTTTAAGGAAATTCTTTTATTTACCTTGGGATCTAGCATAAAATTTATGGCATCAATCAACTTAGGAAGAGAAAACTCGTCAACTGGAATAGGTGGGGGACCAACTCCTCTATCATGCACTCTCTCACCCCAAAAGGGTTGATCGCCAAAAAAGGGAACTATGGTTGTTGGGCACTGCCACAAAAAATGTAAGTTATTAAAAACAAAACCAAATGATATGATATTTACTAAGGATTAAAAAAGGTATTAATTTCTTACAGCAGCTTTCAACCCTGCAGCTGTTGTTCCTGCTCCTCCATGATGCACCTGCAAAAACATGGTAAAACAATTAGAATTTGCAGAGTTAAATAATTACAAACAAAATTTAGTAATTTGATATAACTATTATATTTGTTGTTATATTTTTACTTTTAATAAAACGTTGAACTAAGAGTATTGAAGTAGATGATCTTACCACTGCTTTGCAGTGTAAAAATAGCCAATCGTGAGGAACATTATCCAACAAGTATATAGAGTCCTTTGGTTCTGTCACTGGGAAAAAACACTTTGTTAGAGAAACAAAAAACTAATAAAATATTCAAATGAAAGCATGAATAAGCAGTATCCTTACAATTCCCAAGACCTCCCCATCCTTTATTGATGATGCCCCTCTGTCCTGTGGTCTCCAATGCTTCTACAATTATTTGGGTCATCTTTTTTGGATCTTGGACCGGCTGCAACAGAAATGAGATATAAGTTTATACAGAGGGATAAGAGAGATAGGAATCCATAAGATGAAATATGGAGAAATCATTTGTTTTATTAAAAAAATAAATTGTGCAAGATATATACCAAGGAAGGAGAGGATATCCTTGACAAGAAAACTACAAATAGTGCAAATTTCTAAGAACCACCAAACAAACTCATGAAAACTACAGTTGCAAAGCCCAATTTGGATGCACGTCTTAAACGAAAATCCCCTTTGAGTTGAGAGACCATGAGCCAAGTAGACAAGAGATGCAAGCACATAATAATGCTTAAGCATCTAGACAACCTGAAAAATCTAAACATTCTCCTCCAACTAAAGACCAGAAAATAGTGAACATAGGACAGTTCCGCAGAATCTTAACCTCTTCTTTCCAAACCCTATAAATCTTATTTACAAAAAGGTCTCTAGACAACCCCAGTATAGCCCAAAAACAACAGACTTGCATAAGCAATTAATAAGCTGCAATTAACAAGCTAACAGTGAAAAGTATATGTATAACAGATTAAAAATTGCTCGTACACATAACACAATTATCAGGGGAGATGGCCGTTATTTTATGGCACTATTTACTGCACTGGTTCCAAAGGTTCCTACATCTAGCATTATCATATAGAGAGATATTGCCGATAAGATAAATGTATGATTCAAATAAATAAACTCACCAGACTACCAAACCCTATGTAAATTGGCTTGTCACCATCTTCAAGCCATTTTACAAGGGACTCGGGAGGTTCATAGTTTGATGCTAGATCGAGAAAGCAAAATCCTACTACATCGATTTTTGGTCCCCAATCTGCAAATAAAAAATAATATATTTAATCCTTGGTAGAATGATCTGAATAATTGCATTGAAAATAGTGTCTACACATTTATATACAAGAGAGTATCTCAAAAAAATGAATAGCTAATATTTACTATTACAATAAACATTGCCCCTCAAGCTGAAGTATATGCATCCAACTTGTTACATATACAATCTATATGAGGTCCTCATAGAAATTTAGTAATGACATCGGTCAGCTGATTGTTGGAACTCATGGAGGAATTCTTGATGGTGTTTGAAAGGAACTTTTAGCTGATAAAATTATACTCAACTTCTATAAATTGAATTCTCTCATGAAAAATTGGGTTTCAGGAAAGATGCAATGTTGATTATCATAAACATAAACAAGCTCCATAGAACCTAATTTACGAAACTAACGAGGGCAATGGCGTGACATGCTCACATACACATCCTGGCAATGATAGTTTCTTTCTTGTTCATCCATTAAATAATGTTCCTCTAAAAGGAATTTAATAACCTGAAGTAGACTTCATATCATTTATATCAGCTTATACAATTTGTGCTTCTATTGTGTATTCAACAATACTGACTTGGTCAATGTCTCCACAAACAAGCCTTTCACCTCCTGATTTTTTAGCATGTCATAAGATACAAACAACTTCATTCTCTTAAAATTTGAGATTTAGAGCTATAACTAAACCTCCCAAAACAGTGTAAGGTCAGGATTGTTCAAGCCTTAAAAGCACTAACTAAGCCATAGTTGATAGTTCTATTGATATGGGACACTCAACACATCCCCTCATACTCAAGACTAAACATCTAAAGAAGCATAGACTAATGTAGATGAAAGAATAAAGGCTTCACAATGTGAATGTGGGACACTCAACACACCCTCTCATACTCAAGACAAGACATCTAAAGAAGCAGAGAACTCTAAACCACAAACAGAAGTGAGTAGATTAACATGACCTAGGCCCAAAACAAACCTAGAATAGACTCTGATATCAATTTAAATTTTGTATAACTCAGCTCCACAAAACCAACTTAGAATGTGAATGTTGTCCAAGCCTTATATGCACCACTAAGGGCGTATACACAAGATTTGCATAAAAGATGAAACTAAGATACTAAAGAAACTAACTACATAAATATAACGTAATAGAAATTTAGAAAATATTCTCCTAAATATATGGTACTTTCCAACAAAGATCAATAATTTATTAGGCACCATTTTCATTAGTCACAGAGACCACTTAAAAACAGTGAGATGCTAAAGAGCATAGAGCAGCAATTATTAAAACCAAGAGATGTCGCTCAACAAAATTATGAAAACAACAATGAGTGAACCGAAGGTATCAATGACAACAAATACAAAATATAAAGATTATGATTTAAAGTAACCACCTTTTGGTTTAGGAACAAGATGAGGACTCCATATATATGCATGAGGAATGTTAGTTTCAGAACCTTGTGAGCCACTTAAATATGTGACAGGCCGTAGCTTCAACTTTTTCTTCCTAAGATCATTAATCATGTCTCGTATTCCAAGCCAAATTAACGAGTCAACTATTTGATACGAAAGCTGAAAAGTTATGAATGATCAATATTAAGTCAAACATAGGTGCAACAAATTTGGTGGATAATAAAAAACAGATTTGATTAATGAACTCACCCTATAACCAGCTTGTTGCTTTACACGAGACAAGGGATGAGGAAATTCAGTTGTTGGCCTGGGTGAAAAAGATAAAATACATATAATGCACTTCAATCACAAGGGAAACTATAAGAAATAACCAACTTTTAAAGAATTAAAAGAAAAATTAGTAAACAAAAAGACTAGAGAAATATGGAAGAGTATGATCATATCATCAAGATGAAACTTACGTCCAAGGCATTGTGAAAAAAATATGAATTGGAATTTGTAGGGCCTCTGCAACATGGGTATGCCCTATTTTAAAAGTACAACAGTGTCAGCAGCAAAAACGATGATATGCATTAAAGAGTATTATCTTCCATTGTCATCATAAAAGTAGAAAAATAGAATCAACCAGCAAGAAATGTGAAAGAAGGATGACATTATCAGAAACAGCAATCCAAAATTTAGATCGAGAAATGACAAAATGTTTTATCATGTAAAAGTTGTATAAGAGAAATAATTTGAATTAGATTAAGATCCGAATTATCTGATTTAAATTGTAATGTTGGCATCTTAATTCCCTTTGTATTTTTCTTTCCTAAGTTCTAGCATCTTAGTTAGTATTTCCTATCCAACTCTATTTTGTAACAGCCCGTGCTTTGATCTAGAAACCATTATGTAGGGTAACCCCAAATCATTGTGTTTCATCCTTTAATTGGTTAGTAATGGTATTTTTCTAACCAACTCTTCAAAAATTAAAAATGAGTATATAATATGAATGTATCCACACACTATATACATATACATAGATACATATGTGTGCATACTTACCAATATGTGTGTTAAATAGCCATAATACTGGAATATAACTTCCGCAACACCATAGTACCATTGGATTTTTTTATTCCACATCGAATCGTTACTAAATAAAACTGCACAAATTTAATGAAACATATCATAAAAAACATAGGTAACAAGAAAGCATACCATATGCTGGGGGATTGGCAATGATTGCCTCTGCTTTAAAGGGGACACCAGAATCAATATCAGGTTCTTTACAAGCAGGAAGCAGAGAGTTAATAATTTCTTTCATTTGATTTCTCTGAGTAGGTATGTCAGAGGGTCCTGATGGCAGAAAGCCCTTATTTTTAACCATATCTGCAACGGCATAAAAAGTCAAAGTAAAAACATATAACGTAGTTGAAGAAAGGATGATAAATGTCATGATCTGAACTTCCTAAAAAATTTATCCATGACACAACACATTTTGAAGTGATTTAAGACATATTCCCAACTATTTTCAGTAACTTATTGGTTAGAATGTGCAATGAGTAGATGAAGAGTAACCCACTTAATTATTTGCTTAACCACTGGAGTTATCATTTCTAACCAGGAAATTTGAAAAGTTGCGAAGTTTCTTCCCCTGCCACTTTACCAAATAAAGCACATTGGGAAGTATTATGGGACAGAAGAAACTAAGAAAACATGCATTAAAGCAACTCAAACACCAGAAAAAGAAACTGCAATTGAGCACGTAGCACATACAACCAGCAAGGACTTTTGGATCGCCTCCTAACGGATAAAACTCCAACCCAGCCGTCAAAACAAACTCCTTAAAATTGGAATGAGTTGCTAATCTAACACGATGACCATAATCCTGCATGTAAATTTGAATAAGGGCCTCAAATTTGTATACAAATATACCTTGAATAGAATTGTTAAAAACAATGTATTCATTCAATAAAAATAGAATAGTGGTATCAGTAACAACTTTTGTAGGACAAAAATGGGAGCTCCAAGCTAATTAAAGATACAGCAGAAAATACAACAACTACAAATATTAGAGACAAGTGAAAGAGCATTACCAAAAATGGACTACAAGTTTGTAACATCTCCTTTAGTTTAAAAGCTTGTAAGAGAACATTTTTCGAAAGAGAAAAAACTGCACAACTATATGTATACTGTCAAGGATCAACTTTCTAAGAAGATGAAGTCATTACGTGACGGCTAATGAATTGTTTTATATCTATAGTACTCATTCACACAAGAGCTAACTATTGACTAATTGAGCTTCAAGAGTCTTAATTATTTGGCTTCAAGTAGTCATATAGACTATGAGATAGCACATCAAGGACCAACTCTCCACACAAAGCTTAAAGTGCTGTGATGGAGGCTGATAAATGGTTTAAAATGTAACATATACATATAAAAAACGAGCAACAACGAGCAAGACATCAAAAAGGCAAACTTAGGACATAATAAAATGCAACTATTACTATACCTGCAAGCGTTTTCCAATTGCAACAAATGGCTGTACATCTCCCCGTGTACCAACAATAAGCATCACTATATTCAATGGAGGGATGTAATCAAGGTCTGTTGTACCAAGTGAGTCATCAATAACATTATTTACATGATTGGATCTAGCACCAAAAGCTTCAGTTTCAACATCTATTGGAACCTCAAATTCTACAGTTCCGTCATCTTTTACAGTAGCTATTCTGTTCAACAATCTAAGCTGCAAAGTTGTAAATGTTAACTGAAGTTTCAGCCACATAATTAAAAATAAAAATAAAGATGATAGTCAGTAGAAACAAAAAAAAGAAGAAAGTCCATGGCTTAATATAATAATTCAATAAGGTAAGTTACATGGATCAGATAAAGCAATAATAATAATGGATCATAAGAAATCAAGTCTATTATAAGTGGGAAAATAAAAAAATTATAGTATGGTGAGAGTACAATTTTATTATTTAGGCTCACAAACAGATCAATGTACAATCAGCAACATTAATTACAATGGCATGAATATGTTATTCCTATATATACCAAATACTCTTATATGTAAATATCAACGCGATAGAATATTTCTTGTTACAAGTTGATTTTTGTATATGTTAACTACTGTTAAGAGTCGCACATTGGACAATATATGGTCTGAACATGTACTTATAAGTGGGGGCAATCTTCACCCTACAAGTCGGTTTTGTAGGATTGAGTTAGACCTAACCCACACATTTTAAGATGGTATCAGAGTCCAGTTTAGGATCCGTTGGACCACTCCGCTATCAGGCCACCCACCATTTAGTTTCACGCTTCAGATGTTCAATCCTGGGTGTGAGAGGGGGTGTTAAGATTATAAGTGGGGACAATCCTCACCCTACAAGCCGGTTTCGTAGGGTTGAGTTACACCTAACCCACACATTTTAAGAACTACCATAGTCTTTAAAACAAACCACTAATACATTGGTTAATCCTCCAAAATCTTCAATATTGGGCTGCTTTAAAATGCTCAAAAAGTAGTAAAAATAATAAGCGAAACTGAGCATTACATGAAATCTGGTAGGAAACTAGATGGTTGAAAGTGAGATTGAAGGATAAAATTCCAAGAAAATTAACTAAAGAACATCAATAACTATATTATTCAATACTAAAAGAATATCTACATTTATTTCTAGATCTAAGAGCTCCTATGGAGAAATATGCCCCCATACAAGCAGCGTATGTTCGTCGTAACCCCCTTAATATGTTCAGCAGATCCCCTCCTAATACTATTTGCCGCATAATCTATCTTTCAAGATGGAAAATGAACTAAAGAATATCAATAACTATATTATTCAATACTAAAAGGAATAACTACACTTATTTCTAGATCTCAGAGCTCCTATGGAGAAAATATGCCCCCATACAAGCAGCATATGTTCGTCATAATCCCCCCCTAATATGCTCAGCAAAGCCCCTCCTAATACTACTTGCTGCATAATCTATCTTTCAAGATGAACCTCTTACCATGTCACTAACACAACTAACTCTTTGAAATCAGCTTGCTACATGTTTCTTAGTTCTTTATCCTACGATATTATTTCAGTATTATAAGTCTCTTTACCCCTTGATCAAGCATTACATCTTATTCTGCATTAAGTACCTTGTCAAAATCCCCCATTTTCCTGAAACTCCCAAGCACGCATGAGGTTTGCTTAAAATCTGTTAAGATTTAGATTATATTATGTTGAGTAAATTTCTCTATGATTAAGTTTGTTGGCTTCTATCTTTATAATCAAGGGATTTAGTTGCAGATTTGATTGTCATCGTCCCACCCCTCATTTTCCTAACCATATCTCCCATCCAAACGTAGCACAATAATTTTGTATTCCTTTTGGGAACAAAATATTCTTCATTACCGACATGCATACAAATATTTAAAACTTTTAAGTTTTGCTTGCGAGTTTGGAGGGGAGGAAAAGAGAGGGCTTTGGGGGAAGGGGAGTAGAAGGAAAATTTGATAAATCCTTCACATATTTTGAGAGAGTGCTTTGTAGAGAAGGATAAATCTTCCCTTTACCTCTTAAACTTCCAACCAGAGCCTTAGAGAACCAATGCCATCAAATAGATATGTTTCCACAGACAAAAGGGGAAATCAAAAAGCTAACAAGCATCGCAAATAACAATAACATACCTTTTCCTGTACAGGACATTTGTCATCAAAAATTTGCGCTGCCTCCTCAGGCCTTAGATGTCTCTGTCTCTCTGTTTTTGACCTTTCCAACTTAAAATTACTTGGACTTGACTCTAATTTATCTCCATGGGATATATCTACTGGCAATGTGGTCACTTTGGGCAACCCCCTGCTTGGAATGCCTAAATACATGGAGAAAACAAGACCCCCATAGTGAGCAACATGAGCAATGAAATCAAACAAAACAGTGGTATCAAATAAAATATTGAAAGAAAAATGAGGTATATTAAAATGCTAAGTGGACATGGCACGTTTAAGATTTAACAAGTTAAGAGACTTTCAGTTTTGAATATACAAAGACATTGACAAGCTTTGCTCGGCTACTGAGTTTTTCATGTGTCTCGGCCTCTGGTTTCTGTTATCGGTTTTCTAAGAGTATATCTTATCCTCGTACTGAACCTCCTTGTTTCTATACATTAAATAAATTTATTTCTTCACAGGGAAGCATGGAGAAAACAGGAAAACATGAATGAATGTAGCAACACTAACCAGGTTTTGTTGAGGAAAACATGTCAAGATCATATAAGAGAGCACATTTTAGAATGAAAATAATTAGGGGAGTACTTCTCAAAAGAGGGTCAAATGTCATGAAACCATTGCAGCAAATAATAATAAACTGCCATATTGCAGCTAAAATTGGACATGTGGGACTGTCATTTAAAACATTGCTTGTTATATGTTAACTGCTTTTGCATTTGCTAATTCCACATGAAAAAGAAAAATCTAGATAAAACAATTGAGAATAATATTGAAGATTTTCCATTCCATGTTGATTGGATATGGATGATGATGGAAGTTCATCTAAATGAAGAATGTTGGACTTTCCGCCTTAATTGCGATCCGTCCTTAGTCGCCTTAATTGCAACACTTTGGCTTGCCTTCATTGCAGCCTCTAACACCTTCATTGTGTTAGCTTTTGAAGGGGTGGATTTATTCCCACATTGCTTAAAGATATGGCCTGTGTTGTGTTTATAAGTGGGGGCAATCCTCACCCTACAAGCCGGTTTTGTAGGGATGAGTTAGACCCAACCCAAATCCTGAGATGGTATCAGAGTCTATCATAGATTCATTGTTGGGCTGCCCGCATCGTCCACGCTTCGGACTAATTGAGGCCCAAGTGTGAGGCGATGTGTTGGACTTTTCGCCTTAATTGCGGTCCTCCCTTAGTCTCCTTAATTGCGACACTTTGGCTTGCCTTCATTTCAGCCCTAACACATTATTGTGTTAGCTTTGAAGGGGTGGATTTAGTCCCACATTGCTTAGAGATATGACTTGTGTTGTGTTTATAAGTGGGGGCAATTCTTACCCTACAAGTCGGTTTTGTATGGATGAGTTAGGCTAAACCCAAATTCTGAAAAAGAAGATTTACTAACTATTGTACTATCCTCCAACAAGTCAATTCACCTTAATGATACATATACATGCCTTCTCCACACCACCTAAACCACGAAGGAAGAGGGGACATAAGACCTAGTGTAGGATTAACCATTTGATGATAACAACACACTTTGACAGCAAAAATTAGCTGCTGTGTAAGGCGGGGGTATATCTAATAACGGTAGTATTCTAATTTTGTAAGCACGTGTAATTAAATATGGACATAGGGTTCATTTACAAGAAGAGGATCTGGTTCCATATGACTACAGGGCACATTTACAATAAATTGTGAAGTGGCTAAAACTCATTCCTTTGAATTTTTTCCATTGACAAATATAACTCTCGTTGCTAGTAAAACTTCTATATTTTTGCTTCAAGGTCACTTTTTCATTGACAATAAAAAAATCATATCACCAAAAAGTTTAAAAAAAAAAAAACATATCAAATTAAGAACAATAAACAGTTCAACTTTGTAAGCAATTCAACCTCTCTTCTCTAATTCAATCAACTGCAACTAAATCTACAAACTCACGAATTCTAATAACAAAACATGACAAAAAATCCATACAAGAGAGAGTAACCTGAAGTTGAAGAACTACCGCTACCGTTATTAACGGAAACTCCATTGGAAACAACATCGGTGGAACTATCCTCAACGTCCTTGCTAGTACTAACGCTCCCAGTGCCTTGATCACGCTCCACTCTAACCGAACAATCGGTCGAACTCGATGAATCGGGAGAAGAACGGCGGCGATTCTCCGGCAAGTCGTTCATCTCCACCGCGAGATTTCCGATGGAAGTAACCTAGATTCGCTGCACGGTTCCAGCGTGTAGAGAGAGAGAGAGAGAGAGAGAGAATTGAATCGAAGGAATGAAATAGTGTGTGGCGAAGGAGATGCTAATATACGCTGTGGTGCGGTTGCTTTATTATCACTCAGTTGTAAAACCAAACCGGACCGGATTGGACCGGACTAGACTGTTTATTGGAGAAGTGACGTGTTGACTTGTGAATGTGGGTGCGCGATGCTTGAGTTTTAATTTACAGAGAGATATATCGACTTTACAGGCTGCCGCACCTGATTCCATACCATCTGGATATTTTTCTGCGCGGAAAGAGAAACAGGTCCACGTACAAGTACATGTGTCTTTTTCTAAGAAGATTTTTTAGTCAAAATTAAAAGTAAAGAAGATTTTTTTCACACAATTTTTAAAAGAAAATAGTTTTATTTAATAATTATTTTTTTAAGAATAATGTTAATAATATGAATGACAAAATTTATAAGAATTAAATCAGCAAATCTTAACTCAATTGACAAAATGTCGATATTGTTGGGTTGAATTAGGGATGTCAACAAAGAGAAATGTTTGGAGGATGTTTTTCTACTCTCTGTCTCGTCTTTAATTTTTTCTTCATCTTCAAAAATCTCCACACAAATCGAATCTTAAAAAAATTTATATATTCTTGAATCAAAACTATGACACTACTATTTCATTCTTTTATTTATAAAAAAACGCATTTAATTTGCATTTTTCTTTTTTTTTTAAATAAAAAGACACCATGCATGCATCTAGGGGTGACAAAGTGGGCGGGCCGTCTCATTTAGGTCTGCTTCATTTAAGCTCGTCTAAAAATGGGGCGGGGTGGACCAACGTAGCGATCCGAGCTCAAAAGTCAAGTTTGTCTCGTTTACTAACGAGTTGGCGGATCGACCCGCTAATTTTTTATTTTTTTTTAATTTTATAATTTGATTTAATACATAATTTAGAAAAAAAATTAATTATTTATCAAAGAGATCGATAAAGAAATTTTTTTAACAACGAATAATAGAACTTTAAAATGTCTTAAGTCCAAACAATTCAAAAAAATTAATAAATAAAGACCAATTACAACAAAAAAAACAAAATAAACTCAAGTACAATAAAAAATATCAAAATAAATAAACAATACATATCATCCTAATCTTATTTAAAAACTAACTACTAAAAGAATCCAATTTAAAATTTACACAAAACCAACAATGATAACAATAACATTGCATAAAACATCATTGTTGTTCACAGTGATTTCTGGTAAACAACCGCTAGTCTTCCAAACTATCGAATAAACTTGATTACTGTTATTCAATTTCTCTGGTAACTTGCAGGATCGACTAGATTGATCCTATGGGACATAGTTGTTTGGCTAAATCTAATTGTAAAACTGGTATTCATGTTTAGGACTTCTAATTAAAGTGTTTCAAAGACATCCAATCCACTTCGATTACTACACTAAATGATTCGAAGGATAATTTCTATATGATATAAGGAATGTTCATTAGAAAAGTAAAAAGACTTAAGATTGGGTAAATGGCAGGATTAAGTGAGTGAATGTAAAAGTTGCTGAATGTTTAAAGGATTCGAACATAAGAAAAGCGTTTAAATGCAGAAAGAAATAAATGACTCTGAATGTAAAAGCTTTAATGTAAAGGCATGAACGTAAAAATGTTTGAAGCACAAATGAAATGGAAATGAAAGACAAAACTGGAAAATATAAAGAGTTTTCATTGAATTGTAAATATTGGTGTTATCATACGTACATCTTTCGAGCATTCGTTTCCCTATCCATGCGGTATTTTGAATGTTTACTGAATTTGTACAACAGATATGACACCATGAAATCCTAACACTAAGACCTCTATTTATACTATTTTGACCATAACGGTCTTGCTATCAGAATCTGCCACGTTCGAAGCATGCAGAGCATTACTTCCCTCTAGCCTCCACGCGTCCTCGAACGCTCCAACGCTTATGTATTTGAATTTCCAATATCCCGCTCACGTTTGAATTTCAAACGCCTTGGAACCTTCGTTTCGAATTCGTTTCAAAGGTTATTTTCGAAAACAACCTTCACAAATATAATCTCATCATTATTTCGAAAATTCTTTAGACTTACACTCCACAACTATCATTCGAAACCTTGAACTTTAATATTTCCATTCGAAAAAACAGTCTCTTCCATTCCAAACCATAAAACTTGCTTTATTCAAACAAAGCCCAATCATTTCATTTCGAATCACAATATCAAAATCTTCAGCCAACAAAATGCCCCTTTAAAATATGTATTTCGAACCCTTTGAGAAATACTTATTTTAAATAGATTCACAAGATTTTGATAGGTCTTTTAAAGAATCATGACATTTATTGTGCATGACTTTACCCACGTCAATCAAGACGCCTCTTTGAGTACCTAACCGTCTTGGACCAGTTACCACAGCATGGTGCGGTTTTAAAAATAATGATTACTATTAATCACACTCATTACCAACACTAGATCTTACGCCACCTCTCTCTGAATCCAACCAATGACTTCCACGTACCCCTAGTCTTATTTAGTGGATGTTTACACTCATTCTTCCACACTCTCTATAAAACTCATCAGTTTAGTCTTCTTTTTCTCCAAAATTCTGAAACCCCCCTCTTTTTTCACTAAACCCTAAAACTTCCAGCAATCTTAACAATGTCTTCATCAACATCATCACAATTGAAGAAATCATCAAAGAGGAAGAACAAGAACAACAACACGGAAACTGTCATTGAGAGCAAGGTGGGTACTTATCAGAATCAATCTGTGCTAAATCCTCAAGCGATCTCCAAAGAGAAAGAAATGTTGTATGCTTCTCAGGTATTAATCCCTACCATTGTTGCTGGAAAAAGGTTTGCCCTAATGGGTCCTTTAACCGTTTTTGAAATTCTGAAAGATACTAGGAAATTTTTTCCCGTTTGCTATAAATTCAAACCCCTATTCAACAAGATGGATGCCCCTAAGGCAGGAACTGAAGACATAAGAGAATCATCTGATTCGAAAACAACTGAAACTCCAGTTTCACCTCCAAAAGATCCTTTCATTTTAGATTACATCAAAAGCAATTTCAAACCATTTCGATCTTGCCCCACTTCAGATGTAGCATATCAAAACTGGCTCACTAAAGTAGAATCCAAAAAATCCCAGCAATGGGAAGAATTAGGAATTTATAATTTAATCAAACTGTCGAAACCAGGCTTTACTTACAGTCACCCATTGCTATTTGCTTCATTGTACTTCTGGGACAACACTTATAACACTTTCCACCTTCCGGGCGGAATGATAACACCCACCTTCTTTGATATAGTTGCCATCACTGGTCTTTCACCAGTGGGGGAAACTTATATTCCTGATAACAAAGAACATTCTAGCATCATTGACTTTGATGTCAAACTAGCTAGCTTTTCAAAATTCATCAGCCATTATCATACTGAAGGGGATGATGTCTCAGACGTAGAACATATCGCTTTCCTTACCTTGTGGCTATCACGATATGTGTTCTGCAGCATATCCTTGCAAGTGGCGAGTAGGTTCATTCCCCTAGCCAGGGATTTCCATGAAAATAGGAAAGTCTGCCTGAGTGAACTGCTACTTGTCGATCTTTATGAGAGCTTAAGGTCAGCAGTTTCTGGTTTAAAATCCCATGCTCCAAAGAACATTCTTCTGGATGGACCCTTTTGGTTGCTTCAACTATGGCTTAATGCCATGTTCGAATCTTCTTTATCAACTGCTGATACTATCATCGAACAAGATCCAGAAATAGCTGACAGGATCATCGAAGGCACAAGGCTTCGAAAGCTTACTCCAAATGATGACAAGGATGATTTTAAAGTCCATTTTTCTAAATACATCATGATCTTCTCAAAAAGAAACAAGTTCGAAGAGTCCATGGCACCTTTTGCTCAAAGGACTTGTGGACCATCATGGTTCACAACGTCTCTCTCAGAAGCTGTCAAGAGCAGAGAGATGCAGGACATTTGGAAAGCGTTTCTTCTTCCTAGGCTAATTTCCTCAAGAATTACTCCAACAAAGAATCAGATTTTCCTCCTGGCTTATCAACCCAATTTCGTTTCTCGACAATTTGGCATGTTCCAATTAATTCCTGAACCTTTGTTCCAAACACAAAGTGACATAACCTCAAGCAAAACGTTCAAAGCAAGAGAGGCCAAATTACAACAGGAGCAATATCAAGATTTTGCGCAGTTCGAGCTTTTACCTTTCGAGCCAACATACTTCACAGCAAAAGGATTTCTTGAATGGTGGACTAAGTTCTACCAGACATATATGTTTGACACACTCACCATTCAACAAAAGCTAACTGGCGCGTTCACTGTGCAGGTACACTCCAAGAAAGGTATGTTCACTCATGTCAAAGAAATTAAGGCTTTTCAAAATTATTTTGAAACCACTTATGATCCCACACACTTGGGAACCACTGTACATCGAGCGGCCGAGACCTTGAAGGAAAAATTTAAAGAAAAAATTTCTGAGTTCAAACTTCCTTCAGGGTTGTCACCTGAGGATAGGTATAGGTTGGCACTCGAAATGCATCCACCTAAATTTCCTAGGTTGCCTACCTCAGAACTGGCTCTGGCTTGGTTTCCTCCATACCCTTGGTGGTTTACTTGCAAAGAAATGTTCAAATACCAATCTCGAAAGAAACTAAAGCCATCTGAGACTGTGACATGGGCTCGTTACTGGCTTCATAATTTCCCAGGACATCTTCGCTATGACCTTCCTGCCATTTCGATTACATCTAATCAAGGCACATGTGCGAATGCTTGGGAAAATTCCAATTGTATCCTAATTCCCTTATTCTTAACATTTTACCTTAATTGTTTCACTTTTCAGCCATTAGGATAAAAAACGTTACTTCGAAGCCCAAGGAATGGAACACTTCTCACCAAGCTATTGAAGTTAGCGATGATGTAAC